AGGGGCTGAGGGGCCACTCCGGTGTCGTGTCCACACGTGGGCAGTGCCCGGGCCTGTGTCTGTGCGCACGTCCCCTGCATGGGCCTGGTCCTCCAGGATCCCTCAGAGGGCCCGGTATCCTCGTTTGTTCTTTTTGCCTTACACCAGTGAGTCAGGTTCAGAGACTTGCAAGGAAGAACCCTTTCTGGTCTGATGATCCAATGACAGCTCCTCCGAGATGGGGTGGCCAAGTCCCCAGCTGGCACAGCGGTTATGCCCGAGGGGGTTGTGTGTGTGTGTGTGTGTATTATTGGGGGGGGGACTGAAAACCAGAAGATGCATGAATATCCCCTCACGCCTACTTGCCGGGCAGCGAGTGGGCCCGTGCGGTGGAGAACTTGCAAATGAACATCACCGACGGGCACCGAGTCCATCTAGTGAAGAGAAGGGACAGCGGAGCAAACCCGGGGATAAGCCAGAAAATGACGGGCCGCTCGGTTGCAAGCAGTCTCCCTGTCAGGCTGGTTGCTGCGGGGGCATCTGATTACCGTTTTGTAGATGGTGGCCGCGAAAGCAACGATCCAGTGGAGAGAAAGCAACACTGATGGGAGAGAGAGAAGTTTTCAAACAGGTGAGGAGACCGGGCCCCAGCAGTCTGGGCTGGGACACGACAGACGGGTGGCCGGGAGTGTAGCTTGGGTGGAAAAGAGGCTGTTCCCATCAGGTAGCTGTCACAGGACTTCGGTTGATCAGCCGGCCGGCGTATCACAGCACGAAAAGCCTCGTGAGGACTCGCTCGCTCCCCGCTCCTTTCCCGCCGTGCGGTTTGAGGACGTACCCCGCCCGGCTGCTTTCCCGTGGTCTCTCCCGGTGACGTGTGCTCAAGGAACACTGCTCCCAGTCAGAGCCCCTGCCCTCGGAGCGCGGACGCCGTGCATGGGTCCTCGCGCTCCCCCCGTGGTGCCCCGCGCCCTGTCCACCCCCTCGCACAGCTTACCTGGTCACGGAGGAGACAAGATGTGGACGATGAAAAGTTCTCTGCTGAGCAACTGGAAGCTTGAGATGCCCCAAATTACGTAAGTTTCCTTTATAGTGGGAAGAATCCCCCTGAGAGCTGTAGGTGACCCAGCATTGTTGCTGAAGCCACCAAAGCCACACATCACACGTGCCTTTATCCTGGGGACTCCCATCTTTCCAGGACCTTCCTACGGCTTGAGTGTGCCTCACCCCATTTCCCGAAACATGGGAACGTGCTTGGTCAACTTGGCAGGTGTTCTAGAAAAGGCAGCAGGCTGAGCCCCCAGACAACACGGGGACCCCAGCCCTCCGCTTTGTTGTAGCGCAGGGTCGGGCTGGACTTGGAGGGAACGATACCACGACCTTGTCTGTGACTCCTACGGCGAAAGTACCCGTACAGCACTCCCTGCCTCTCCTCGTCAACTGCCCCCTCCCTAACCCTGGGACGGCAGTGCCCAGTCATTATGTAGCCCCCCCACCCCCCACCAATTGATTAAAGTGACAGGAAGCACCTGCCAGATGTGCTACATTCGAGACCCTGGTAGACGTCTGAAGGGTAGCCTGTGTCCTAAACTCACCCGTGTCCTAGGACTCGGGTTCTCCAAGTTAAAGCTAATCCTTGAACGCAAAGCCCCAGCAAAGCAAGCTGCTGATAGGAGAACACTCACTTGCTTTGAGTTTTGACCACAACCAGCCTGGAAGAAAGTAATGAAGAAACACACGAACACATGCTTCGTGTATACGACACGTTACGGTAACTGGGGGCCGCCGCTCCTCCCACATCGTGCCGTTCCGTTCCCTTGGCCCTACTTCAGCCCAGCAATCCTGCCAAGAGGCCCTCAAGTTACGGTCTTCCTGAGAAAATGCGCAGTTTGCTCTTCATTCATCCATGTCCCCGTGGGCCCAACCAAGAGTTAACCGAGCGAGACCCAAGAAAGCACAGCCACCAAGTTCTCTAATATCAAAATAGAGCAATTTATTCAAGACACTGAGTATGATCTGTTGATTTTCTCTTGAAACAAATGAGCTACGACACACAAAGTGATTCTTCTTCTCAGAGAGCGTGAAGGTGAGTGGGGGTGGAGGACGACGAAACGAGGGGTGATGTGAACGGAACCGAATCTAGAAAATGCAGACAGAGGACCACATCTGGCTGTACGTCTGACACAGACAATAAAAACTGCAGAAGCCAGAATTCAAAACTTCAGTGAGTGGCGGAAGGAACATTTCTGCATTTGACAAGAAACAGGATAAAAGAAAGAAAAAACAAGATGGAACAGAAGGTTAAAAAATAAAGTAACAAGGAATAAAGCAGACCCTTACATTTGACAAAGTGCACTTCACTGGGCTCCGTGATCTAGTTTTAGAAAGACAAGACGGAGGTCAAGTCCCGGGTGTCGTGTGGGGTCAGAGGGTTTAGACCCTGTGGTGCAGGACATGCTCTTGGTCACTTCAGACCCCAGGACACACTCTTGGTCATTTCAAGCCCGAGCGAAGATTCCAGGAAGGATGACTGTGTTACTCTGCTTTCAGAATCAAGGTTCAATTTGGTCACTGAGACTTCAGCGTTTACCCACCATTGTTTAAGAGCCGTAAACAATGGCAAACAGGAACTTCCCACGAGGGCCACCCCTCGGTGAAGGGGAACCTCCCGGCTTGCTGGAAGTCGCCGACGTGAGAGGCTCAGCGGACAGCTGTCGTGCCGAGGGTGGGGGTGGGCCGGAGGCCTGCCCTGCGTGCTCAGGCTCCGTCCCTCTTCAGGCCCGGGTGCTCCTCTCCTGCGGCTGCTGGGGGAGGCAGGGTTGGGGACCATCTGCCTCTGTCACCCCAGCTCCATTCTGTGCCTTGCAGCCCGTGGCTCCCAGCTGATCATTCCCACGTGATTCAGACTTATGAATCACGAGGCTAAAGCCCACAGCTCCACAGGACCCCGGCCACTGACGTCCACGGGAAGCTTATCTAGTGAACCCGACAGGACATCCCACCATGACCACCCGACGTCGACTGGCTTGTAAGACACGAGCCACATGCTGACCGTGGCCCAACCCTCAACAACTTCTCTGCAGAGGTGACATTTTTACTTGGGGTAGGGGTCAAGACGGTGTTGGTCTGGATCCCCAGCAAACAGCGTCCCAAACCTAATGATTTCTTAGGGCAGGCGGTCATCGTCTGCGACCTTCAAAAACGGGAATGTGACGCCACAGAACTCGGACCTTCCGGGCTAAACACTTAGGGAACGGAGCCTGAATCAAATACCCAGCTTGTACACAGAGCCCTTTTTGGTCTTCTACAGACGGGGCTTGCATAACTCGGGTATCCAAGCGGAGGGCAATGAACGATCTAGAAGGAAGAACACACCCTGGCTGTTGCCGCCGGTCCCCGCACATTCCACGTCCTGCGGGAGGCCGCTGTGCTGCCGGCTGGATTTTGGCTTCACGGACGGACGCCACCCTCCAAACGACACCCTGTCTCACTGCTGGGACGCGCACCCAGCCGAAGCCTGCCCCCGACCGGCACCCCTGCCCCCGGGCCTGACCAGCTTCCTCGCCCCTTCGTATGCCCGCTGGGAAACAGAGGAGAGAAGAGGCCCGATCTTTCGCTCCTTCCCCGATGCTAATGTAAAAACCAGGTCAGTGTCGGGTTAGGACGAGAGTCCAAAGGGCACCTGATCCAATGAAAGGAAACTCCTCTAGGAACACAAAGCCATGTTTAATTTTTTAAAAACAGTAAAAAGATTCATTATTTAAAAAAAAAAATCTTTCTCCTGGTCTCTTGTGAGAGAAAGAAATGATGAAGACGGCAGAAATTATTAGTGATGTTCTACCTACGTAATTCACCTTCAGGACTGAGAGTCTCCCTTTCCCGTTCGTTTCTGTCACTATCACACCGGGTGAGATCCCGGAGGCTTTTAGGTGAGCTGTGCAAGGACCGGTCAACCGCTCTCGGTGAAGCGACCGTGGGTACTCAGAGTGCCGTGAACGAGAGGTCGCTAACAGGTGACAGGGAGCCCAGCTGTCAGTGTGGATGGCTTCTTCAATTCCATTTGGTTTGGGAAATGCTTCCTGGGGTCAGAGGGCTCTGCTCTGGACTCCTCTCGTGCCGGCTACGAGGGTGAACACCCCCGAAACGATGTGACACTCTTCTTTGAACCAAAAAGCGCCGGGATTTGCGTCTCTCGCTGCAGAAGCATCCCCCCGCCGACCCCCAGGACCCACCCAGACTTTTCCACCCAGATTCCTAACCGCCTTTCACGATGCTGCAGGGAACGGAAAGGCCACCTCAGACCCTGCCTGTGTCCTCCTAAGATTTGCTTAAAATATGAATCACACAAAGCTCTCTGTGTCTGATGGCCATTTTAGGATTTTAAAATTGTTTTAACATAAAAATATTTTTTTTTTTTCCAAAAATACTCCGGGCTCTTTCTCTTATAAGTATTTTTTTTTTTCTCCTGTAAAAAGTCCCCGTGCCCTGCCTTCTTACATAAAGCACTTATTATGCGCCGAAAGTGCCCTTGAGACCGAAGATCCGAAGCAACTATGAGAAAGGGACAGCGAGTGAGCGAGGGGCGGTGAGGGAGAGGGAGGAAGGGCGGAGGGGAGGACGAAGGGACGGGAAAGCCGACCGTCAGAGATTCCGGCATGGTGTCCACGAGGCTGCGTCTACGGAAGGTGTAGTCAAACCAACACCACACCGCGCGAAGGAGAGGTGGAGGGGGCACACAGTGGGAAGGAAGCAACAAACCAAAACCAGTTTCCATCTCAGACCGAAGGCCCCCGGACGACAGGATTCCAGCCAATAGAAAAACCACCGGACAAAGAAGATTCTAGAAAATAGAAAGTGTTGGGATTACAAAGTTGCGCATTTCATCGGTACAAACTGGTCTTTGAACATCCTTTGTGAGAGCAAGTGCAGTGTCCAAATTGTTAGGGGGAAAAAGCGAACCCACCATGTGGAGGAGAGTCCCCTCCCCCACTTTTGGTTTTATCACAGCATTTTTCTTTTTTCTTTTCTTTTTTCTTTTTTGGCACAGCTTTTTTTGTTTTCTTTTTTCTCCTCTTCGTCTTTTCTCCTCTCAACTATCAGAGCCTGTTCTGGATGGAAAGCAAACCGTGCCCCGCCTAGCCGGTGGCTCCATGCTTCCCAGGCTGAATGTTCTGGGTGGAAACCATTCCTTCCCCCTTTGATATGACTGTGTATGTTTCTGGTTTAAACTTCTTGATGAAGATTACGAGAAAGTAGAGACTCCTGTGGCCAGGATGAACTGATTTCCAAGTACACTCTAATGCAAGTCAAGTTCGTACAGTTTTGGAGCGGAAAGAACGGTGTCGGAGCATTGCTGCTTCACACATTCACTGCTGGTCCATTAGAATTCTCTTCTAGAATAGTTTGTGTTTACTTTCGGAGATCTAAAACACACACCTGGAAGGAAACAGAAGGTGCCTCTTATCTTCACAGATGACAGCAAGATGCCTTTTGAGCCCCTGGACCAACTCCGGCCCGCCACCCATGTTCTGTAAATAAAGTTTTATTGGCAGCTTTAATAAAAGGCTAGTGTGTGAGCATGTGACCCAGCAACGCCAAGCAAACAGCACTACGTGGAAGCTCCAGGTCGTGGGCAATGCCGGGAACCAGTGGGGGAGGGCCGGGCTACGTGATGGAGAGGACGACTCCAGCCCGAGCACACAGACGATGGGAACATTTGCGGCCCTCGCTGACAGTCACCGAGCCAGCCCCACTGCTGCCCCCCGCCTTGGGGCTCATGGCAAGCCCAAGTGCGGGAACGAACCAAGAGGCTAGACATCTCACGGGAGCAGAATAAGACCAGGAGGTCATGCCTTTATCACAAGAGGTCAGGGTCACAAACACGGAACTAAGCTAGGAGCAGGTTTCTCAGCCTCGGCACCGGTGACACCTAGAGCCAGATCCTTCCCCGCTCCGGGGGCCATTCTGCGCGTTGTGGGAGGACTGGCGGCCTCCCTGCCCTCCACGCACCACATGCCAGTAGCGCCCCTGTCAAAGTAGTGACAGCCCAGAGTGCCTCCGGACATTGTGACAGGGCAGGATCACCCCTGTGGCATCCTCACGGGGCAGAATATCCCTAAGAAAATGCTGGCTAGAATGACAACCTGGAAGGGAGGAAGAGGTGGCCATTCACAGATGGTGCCAACCCAGGGGGTCAGCCCAGTAGTTTCCTTCACCAGAAGCACGTCTGTTCAGCGCCTGCGTGCAAAGCGTTCAGAGACCAGGGCCCGTCACACCCCCTGCAGCTGCACTCGGGTATCCGCTGCCCGACGTTTGGTCTTTGTGCCCCGCCACGCCCCTCCCCTCCCCTCCCCGCCCCTCCCCGGCAAACCACAGGTGCTGCTTACAGAGCCATCGGACGCGCTGGCACCCACTTTGTCCCCTCGGGCATTCCAGCACACCTCGAAGATGCCGCCAGTGCCTCGGTAGCTGTGGACAAGACTTCCACTCTGCAAAGCAAAGCAGTCATCACTTACGACGCTAAAGGACACTCGAAACACGGACGCGGTAGCCGGGGCGCCTGGGTGGCTCTCTCGGTTAAGCGTCCGACTCCTGGTTTTGGCTCAAGTCATGATCTCGAGGTCGTTGAGATGCGGCTCTGCCCTAGGCAGGGAGCCTGCTTGAGATGTTCTCTCTCTCTCACCCTTTGCCTCTCCCTAACTCATGCGCCCGCCTCAATCTCACGCTCTCAAAGCATTACACACGAAACAAAACATGGATGTGGTGCAGTGGGCACTCCTTTGGACGTTATCCTGAAATGTCATCACAGGTACGTTATCTCAGGGATTTTTGACACCTAGAAATGAAAACGACTTGCAATAAGGTCTCCAGCGGCTGTAGACACAGGCCTCTCAGACTTCCTACGAGATGGGAACAGGGGAAGGAGCAAGCCAACAACGTTACGTACGTTTTTTTTTATATTCACACAGTACCCTCCCTGAGGATTAAAGTGAGCTTTAAAATGTCTCAAAGAGGGGCGCCAGGGTGGCTCTGTCTGTCAAGTGTCGGACTCTTGGCTTTGGCTCAGGTCATGATCTCCTGGTTCATGGGTTTGAGCCCTGGGTCAGGTTCCGCATGGACGGTGCAGAGCCTGCTTGGGATTCTCTCTCTCCTTCTCTGTCTCACAAATAAACAAACGTTAACAAAATAATAACACAACAAATAAAACGTCTCAAAGAGGGGGCACCTGGCTGGCCCGGTTGTGCTTGTGACTCTTGATCGTGGACGGGGTTGTAAGTTCGAGCCCCACATTGGGTGGAGAGTTTACTTAAAGTCTTTAAAAACATAAATAAGGGGTGCCTGGATGGCTCATTGGTTAAGTATCTGACTTTGGCTCAGGTCACGGTCTCATGTTCGCAAGTTCGAGCCCTGCGTCGGGCTCTGTGCCGACAGCTTGGAGCCTGGACCCTGCTTCTGATTCTGTGTCTCCCTCTCTCTCTCTGCCCCTCCCCCGCTCGCTCTCTATCTCTCAAAAATAAATAAAAATGTTAAAAAAAAAAA